AAAGGAGACTGTCTGCATTAGAAGTTCTTTTTTACCCTCCTTTTACATTGGTAGCAGAGCGTGGTTTGTTTGTTTTCGGTTTCTTATTTTTTATTTGTTCATTTTTGTTTTAGACTGATTAGGACCTATGGGCCCGTCCTAATTTAATTTAATTTAATTTAATTTAATTTAATTAATCAGTATGTATATTGTAAGAGTATAGGACGTCTCCGTCATTATATTGGAAATAGTTTCCGGTTTACAATTATCTATACCCATTGGCGAGTCAATAGTACCTAGTATAGGCAACGATATCAGTGCGCGATAATATTCGCGTGTCACCGTATGTGACGATAACATTTATCGTATACCGTATTACTGTATACGTATTATTTATTATTTATATGTTACGTATTGTTGCATTTTGCGCGCAGCGTACTTATTTATTTATTTATTTTTTTTCTTTTTTTTCGAAAGGTAACAAATAATATTCATATAATAATTTATTAATGTTGTATGGTAATTTTTCGTCACTTTGAATTAATTTGGTTGAATTATTTATTTAATATTTAATTTTGTGATACATGTAAGTAAACAATTGTGATTAAAAATGGCCGTTTGAATTTTGTAATTTAGATACTATTAGTCGGATATTTGATTGAAATTTCGTATTATTAATATTCAATTCACTTGAAGGGTTTGATCTTAATACTGATTTGTTGGATATCATATTTAATTTAAACGCGTATTATTATCATTTTTATTCTGATTTAGTGATCTTTATTACGGTTTATGATTTACTAAATTATTTGGATTTTTTTTTTACTCAATTTTATTTTTTCGTTACTTAATTCTTATTTTCTCGTAAATCTGTCACCATAATGTCGAGCGATGATCAAGCGCGGGCCAATAGGCTGAAACGTCGTTGCGAAATCAGACGCATGAATTGTGTGAACAAGATACGCGCAGTTTATGATTTGGCTGTCCGTAGTGCCGCAGATTCGACCGTTGTGCCTCAGCTATTGGTTTTAGTAGATACACTTGATCAGTTGATGTTGTCATTCAATACCGAAGACGAAGCATTATTAAATCAATTAATTGATATGGAACTAGATGCTGAGTATCCCGACAGGGAGTGTGTCGAAATGCTCGAAATGGTTTCATTCGCGCAAGCGACCGCGAATCGGTTAATGCAGTATTGTGCACCTCAAACAATCTTGTCTGTACACGGCGGTTCACAGGTGTCCTTGAATAATGTCGACGTGAATGAGCCCCAAACGAACGTGCATGCGTCTAATGGCGCCGGGGCCGGTGATGGTAGTCCAGGGGGTGTCCAATCAAATAATGCGGGTTCTCTAAGGTCTAACAGCGTCCAGGTCATCAAGCCTACCCGTTTACCGGAAATTCCGTTGCCCACATTTTACGGCGACATTTATAAGTGGATTTCATTTCGAGATCGGTTTGCGGCCATGGTGGATCGACGATCAACGTTATCCGACATTGAGAAGTTTTATTACCTGGTGGGATGCTGTAAAGGGGACGCGTTAGACGCCATTCGGGGCATACCTGTGGCTGACCACAATTATAAGCTGGCGTGGTCCACGCTTAAGGAGAGATTTGATAAACCGCGTCTGGTAGCATGTTCATTAATTGAAAGATTGTTAAGCGCACCGCGAGCCTCTTCTGAAACTTTAGCTGAACTAAACAAATTATTGGTAATTTTCGATGAAGGTGTGTCAGTGCTCAAATCTATGGAAATCCCCAACCTAGGTGATTTCATATTGTTTTCCATAGCGTCACGTTGTTTGCCCACCTCCAGTATCAAGCTATTTGAAGCTCAATTAGCCAATGGGTTTCCCACAGTACAAGATTTGTTAAAATTTGTAAAGTCGCGCGTGGCCATATTGGAGTGCATCCCGCGAGAGCCTACATCGAAGCAAATTAATGAGTTAAAAAACCATAAGGGTGCGTCATATAGTGTGAAGAAGCCGCCGATTCATTCTTCCATGGTTGCAAGTAGCAACCCATCACAGGCGTCCCAGTCGTGTATATGTTGCAAGGGTACTCATGTCCTGGCTTCATGTCCCAAGTTCAAGAGTTGGACACTTGAAACACGTAGCAATTGGGCACGGGACCAACGTATATGTTTCCGATGTCTACGTACAGGACACTGGGTGTCCCGGTGCAAATCTTCAATTGTATGCGGTCAATGCTCTCGACGCCATCACTCACTGTTACATCCTGCTTCCTCTTCCGGGCGTCCCAGAGAAGAGAACACTTCAAATGCAGAGCAAATGGACTTACCCACCACATCGTCACTTCTTAGTCAGAATACGTCGCCATCAGTCATTCTTGGGACAGCCCTCATACACATGCCTGACAGTACTGGCGTATTGCATACGGTAAGAGCGTTAATTGACTCAGCATCACAGATCAGCGCTATTACTGCTGAATGCTCGAATCGTTTGGGACTTCGGATAAAGAAGTGGACGGTACCTGTGTCTGGTATTGGTGGTGTCTCCGTACCAAACGTCTTGGGGATTGTCCAATGTAGAGCACAACCAAGGTTTTCTCCAGACCCTGTCTTTAACTTCGAGGCGTGGGTGTTCTCGACCATAACCACTGATATGCCGCGACACCCGTTGACAAAGTCACTGGTTGACAAATACAAGCACCTAGCGTTGGCGGATCCGTCGTTTGCCATACCAGGTAGCATTGACGTACTTCTAGGAGCGGACCTTTTTTCCGAAATCTTAAATGGCAAACGCGTGTCGGTAGGCAGTTCATATCCAGCAGCCTTTGGTACCGTTTTTGGATGGACAATTATTGGAGCTGCCCCACACACAATTTCCCACTGGCCGGTTTCATGCCCTACGTCGCTTACTGTGTCATGTGAAACCCTGTTACATAAGTTTTGGGAAATCGAAGAACCAGACACGGCCCCGGAGGAGTTCACTACAACGGGTCAATGTGAGTCGATGTTTCAAAGGGGATGTGTACGAGTAAATTCTGGAAGATATAGTGTCCCTCTTCTTTTTCGCCAACCCACCCCTCAGGTCAATTTTACCGGTTCAAGAGCGGTAGCTACAAAACGGTTTGGACAGTTAGAGAAAAAAACTCATGTCGGATCAGCGCCTCCGTAGTTTATATTGCCAATTCATGGCCGAGTATCAGTCTGATGGTCATATGTCACCAGCGTCGTCGGTTGGGTCATATTTTATTCCGCACCATGCGGTATACCGACCATCTGATACGAATCCGAAAATCCGCGTAGTGTTTGACGCATCAGCCAAGGATTATTCCGGTACGTCATTGAATGATGTTTTATTTCCGGGACCTAAACTTCAACAAGACGTGGTCGATGTTCTACTGTTATTCCGGTTATCTCGGTTTGCCTTTACGTGTGATATAAGTAAAATGTATCGCCAAATTCTTATCTCACCGGAACATCGACCATTTCAACATGTGTTATGGCGAGCTTCACCCGAGGACGAGCTACAAGCCTTCGAGTTAAATACTGTAACGTATGGGGTGAATTGCTCACCGTTTTTAGCGATACGTGTGCTCCATCAGATAGCTGACATGGAATGCGACGGTTTCCCATTTGTTCGCGAAGCCCTGTTATTCCACACCTACGTCGACGACATTTGTGTAGGCGCTGATAGTGAAGCCGCAGCCATACAACTACAGTCTGATTTAATTACTATTTTGCGTCACTCTGGTATGGAACTCAAGAAGTGGACCAGCAATATTGAATCAGTACTTAACAACGTTCCTAACGAAGATAGAGCATGTGATGCACTATCATTCCATGACGGAGACAGCGTCGGAAGTAAAGTATTGGGTATTCGCTGGGACCATCACGACGATTCATTTAATTATTTTGTTAAACCCGAGACATTAGTTACAACAAAGCGTGGCATGCTTTCGCTAATCGCCAGAATTTTTGACCCTCTTGGGTTGTTAGCTCCTGTAATTTTCCAAGCGAAACATTTGATGCAGAGTGTATGGAAGGCTAACATTGCATGGGACGAGAACTTGCCAAATGATATATTGAAACCGTGGACTCAATTTGTAACGGATCTTCCTGAGTTACAGCGGGTTCGAATACCGAGATTTGTTCATACACGGCGCGGACTCCGGTGCGTACTTTGTGGTTTTTGCGATGCGTCTGAGCGTGGATACGCGGCCGTAGTATATATAAAATCATTGGACTTTTGCGAGCGCCCGTCCGTATCGTTACTCGGCGCAAAAACAAAGCTCGCTCCAGTGAAGGCTTATACCATCCCACGTATGGAGTTGTGTGCGGCGGTGCTTTTAGCGCGATGGATGGCACGTCTAAAAAATATTCTCGATGGCAGACTTCAAATAGTTGACACTCTAGCATGGTCAGATAGTACGGCAGTACTCAGTTGGTTGAAGACACCGCACGAGTCGTTCAAAGTGTTTGTGTCAAACCGGGTTTATCAGATTCATACGGCCTTGCCAGAATGTCACTGGAACTATATTGCTTCGGCTGACAATCCAGCCGATTGTGCTTCCAGGGGATTGTCGCCCGTACAACTGATTGACTTTAAGCTGTACTGGGATGGCCCAACATTTCTGCATACAAGCAATAATTTGCGTGACAATAACGTTCAGTATATAGCGCCAGATCAGCTTCCGGAAATCAAGACACATAAACCAGTGACATTAGTGGCGCAACCCGACGAAGAATGGTATTGTCGGTTTTCATGCTACTTGCGCATGACGCGAGTTGTAGCGTGGATGTGCAGATTTATAATGGGCTGCCGCGGACAACCAGCTCAGCTTCCTTATTTAACTCGCAAGGAGTTGGATCAAGCAGCAGTAAAAGCAGCTCGAGCGTCGCAACTTCATGATTTTAAAAACTTACTTCACGAGTTGTCTCATAACCAACCTGTTTCTGTGAAACCTGTGGCACGCCTCCGCCCTTTTATCGACAGTCGAGGTTTAATCTGTGTGGGTGGACGTCTATCCAAATCAAATCTCCCAGAAGGTCAGAAACATCCAATTTTACTGGCAAAGAAGTCGTATATATCGCTATTATTGGTGCGCCATTGGCATGATGTCACTGGTCATGGTGGTCCGCGAGTACTAACTTCACTTATCTGTCGGCAATACTGGATTCTGTCTGTCAACCGCTTGATTCGTACCGTCATTAGTAACTGCGTTAGATGTGTTCGTCGTGCCGCTGTTAACCCCCAACCAGTTATGGCTGATTTGCCCTCCTCTCGCATTGTTGAATGCCCCCCATTCTCACGTGTTGGTGTTGATTTTGCCGGTCCAATGACTATGAAGGAGCATCGATTGCGAAAATCACGTGAGTACAAAGTGTACGTGGCTGTGTTCGTTTGTTTTATAGTTAAAGCCGTTCACTTGGAGTACGTGTCCGACTTATCCACTGACGCTTTTCTGGCCGCCTTGAATCGGTTCGTGGCGAGGCGTGGTATGCCGACAGATATATACACGGACTGTGGGACCAATTTCGTGGGTGCCGCCAACCACATGCGTCAATTGCTAAATGATCAGAAGTGCCAGGAAAACTTAGTCAATACAATTACATGTACCTGGCATTTTAATCCACCCGGTGCCCCACACTTTGGTGGTCTGTGGGAGGCGGCCGTGCGATCGGCGAAAACATTAATGGTTAAAATCACGGGGGAGCACACCTTCACAATTGAAGAATTTAGCACGATTCTGTGCCGCGTGGAGGCAATCTTAAATTCACGACCACTCGTGTCCACATCTCCAGACCCCGCTGAAGCGGATTGCCTAACACCAGGTCATTTTCTAATAGGGCGGCCATTGCTGTCAGTACCTGAGGTTGACTATATACACTCTCAGCGGCCGATGGTCCAAAGATGGAAATTGTTGAACCAAAGTGTGCAGTCATTTTGGCATCGTTGGCGCCGGGAATACTTGCATACCCTACAATCACGTAGTCGGTGGACCAAAGATGCTCCTAATATTGCCGTGAATGATGTGGTGATAGTGAAAGACCTCCCAGCTGCACCACTTAAATGGCACATGGCACGAGTGACTGAAGTCTTTCCAGGTAGCGACGGTATAGTACGTGTCGTACGTCTTCAGACTGCCACTGGTACGTTGACTCGCCCAGTCGTAAAAGTAGTTAAATTGCCTACAGATTAACCAAGCATACACATTCCCCTTTGCCACATTGACTAGAGTATTATCTGAATAGGTGATGTGTGAGATGGGTCTTCCAATTGGTGTGGGGAAAATTATGGGGGAGAATGCTTTCATGAAATGTTCTGATCTCACTTGTTCTTTATTTATATTACCAAGGTCCAGATGACCAAACCCTGGTTATTTTTTTTTATTTTTTATTATTATTTATTTATTGTCTATTTATCTTTATTTATTTTTATGCATTATTCTGTATTTCGTGTGTATTACTTTGTGTACTCATGTAATTATTAGATATATATTTTTTCTTGTTCGTATTACAATGTTAAGTGCACGGCAGCGGATTATCATCATAATTTAGTCAACTTCAGCTCATCCGTCATATTCCACGTCTACAGGATACTGTTAGAAGATGTTCTCATCTTCTAAGGGGGAGCATGTACAAAATACACTTAGCCGAGAAAAACCGGTCCGGTTAATGCGATATTGCGTTTTTCTCGGCT